GTTCCCCCCCCCCCCCCCACCAATACAATTTCTAATGCTTTTTACTTCAATATTCGGTTTCTAATCTCAAGTTCTCCAGTTATATTTTAGTTCTGCATATCAGCTGGGTGGGACACTTTTAAAATTCACTAGCCCACCCTCCCTAACTTTAACCTAATTTAACTCAATCCCCATCACCCAGATGGTTGCTTACCTCCATGACAGCAGCAGCCATCTCCTTGGCCTGAAATGGCTGGCCGTGTCAACGTATTGACTACCCATAGACTTGAAGAAATAACTCATAGCATCTCTGGTGTAGGAATATGGCCCTATTTAAATCTATTGGGAGTCTCTGCTCATTTACTCTGCCAGCATTGGAAAAGATTTTGGGCAAAGGTATGTAAACATTGGAGAAGGTTGTCAAGTAGATGTAAGTAGGCATCTAGGTAGGGGGATTCTAGGTTATATTAGATTAGGGGGCTAGGAAGGTGGGTATTTGTAAAAATGTGAATATTGTAATAGTGGCCTCCCCACAATCTTTAAAATGACACGCCGTTTAAGCCAAGGTTGCAGCAATTCATCATGGCATACCTACAGTATATATGCTGCATGTGAAACAACCTGAGTGCAATGTATGATAATGGTGGCATTCACAGCTATATCCTCATAGGGAGTTTTAGTTGTTATACACTGAGTAATGAGTAACAATGAGCAAGATTATTATGACCACCCCATCCCATGGGCCACGAGATGACTCCACGAGATGACTTCGTTGGGCCGCCTCGTGACTCCACGAAGATGTTAAAGGTGATGCGAGGAATCTGACACTGCATTGTTGCCCTTCTGTTGTCTTTTTTTTTTCCTTCTGTTGTCTTTTTTTTGTGTGAATATTTGTGTGAATATATATATATATATACACTGAGTGGCCAGATTATTATGACCACCCCATCAGTACTTCGTTGGGCCACGAGATGACTCCACGAGATGACTTCGTTGGGCTACGAGATGACTTCATTGGGACGCTTCGTGACTCCACGAGATGTTGAAAGGTGATGCGAGGAATCTGACACTGCACTGTTGCCCTTCTGTTGCCTTGTACCAGTCTTGCCATTCTCCGTTCTGCCCTAACATTGACTAGTCGCTGACGGCCACAATTCGCACATTCAGACCCAGATTTTTGGCTGACAGTCCAGTCTTTAAACACTTTAACAACAGCTGCTCTTGAACATTTAACGAATTCTGCTGTTTTGCTGATACTCGCTCCATTGCTCCGAGCGCCAACAATCATCCCACGTTCAAAGGCTGTTAAATCGCGTTGTTTACCCATATATTCAGAAAAAAAATCACTTCTACTGTCGTGGTAAACAACCTGCTTCCCTATTTATAATGGTCTGGCCGTCTAGCAACTTCAGAGCAAAATTATAGCTAATTATAGCTAATTTGCCTACAAACGTCAGGTGGTCATAATAAACTGGCCACTCAGTGTATACCATCTATTATGATGCCCCCCTTAATCTGTTTCTCTTCCAAAAATACCTTCTTGCAGTAAGGCTGTTATGACAATTACTGTGGATGGATCTTGTTGATGGAATGAAAAAGATAAGCAATACTGTAGTGAAATGTGTGAAATGTTTCAAAAAGGTGCAAAATGCAATGAGAAATCTGCCATCACTATGGTTGCCACCTTTTCTAGGAAACCCACCCAGAAAGGGTGGCAAGTTTCTTGTCTCTTTTCTGTTAACAATATTAACACAAAACCTTAGTAGCAACTTAAAGCCACTAAAGATTTCCTCTTTCACTGATCTGACTTCAGTAATGCTATGGTTTGCTGCATTCTGCAAATTGCAAATGATCTTTACACTGCCTCATGAAAGTGTACTGGTGCTCCCATAGTAATAAATACATTGCCAGTAGGAATTAAAAGCAAGCACCCATTAGTTTCTGCAGATACCATTTGTTATTTTCCTGACTATTTCCAGAGCCTAACACTCAGGGTTTTCTAATATGCCAATAATGACTATGGTAACTTAAGTTTAGCTCACACCAGCTCCCTCTTGAATTTTAAGCCTAATTGGCAGTGAATCCACCCTTCGAAGATGGGACCAACTATGATGTCTAGGAGGCAAGAGGGAGGAGGCCTAAGCTTGACCTTTGAGTTTCCTTTTTGCATAATAGTACACCAGGTCTTAGGGCTCATAGGGCATTCTGAAAGACATCAAAATCTTTGTGCAGACACCTTTTTTTATTTAGCATCATATAAGTACAGATACGTTTTAAATAATCCTGAAAGTACTTCATCAAACACTTTACCCCATGAACTATAGGAGGATCTCCTGAAGGTGAAAAGCTTTCTTCAGCAGCATCCCAGCCTACTGAACTGCGTGGCACCTGTCCCATTTTGAAATCGTTCTTCTGGGAAGCAGGTTCTGGAGGCTGATCATTGGTTTTAGGAAAGAACTTCTCATGGAGGCTGATCATGACTGTCATCAGCTTCTGGATCTGAGGAGCTCCTGCAGGGAGGAATGACAATGAAAATTTACTGGACATACAAAAGGTTAAATATGAAGCACAATGTATTTCTTGACTGTAGCTAGGTGGAGGGCAGCCAAGTATTACAAACTACAGAAACAAACTATTGATAGAAAACATATCTGGTTTATTGAAAAAAACTAGACAAAGTCCAGAGGGAAAATTCCATTATATTTATACTGTATGTATTCTGAAAGGTTACATCTATTATAAGCTACCACGTCAATTTCTAATGGTCCATTTATACCAATTTGCTTTGCTGTGAGTTCAGATCACTACATAATGGACTCAGTTGTGTTTTTGATAGCAGTAGGTCTCATTTTTCATTTGCTCATAGCAGCCAAACATTTTTTTATTTTCTCTTTCGAATACAAATGCACCAGACAACAACACAATTCTGTCCCATTTCCTAGGGATGTCCTGAAACCAGCCCTTTAAATTTTTTAACCGCAGTAGTTCCCACCCTTGGGGGACCTCGGTAGCCTGCTGGGGCCTTGCAGTAGCTGTCCCTGGCGGTGCCTGTCCGGTTCTATATCTCCTCCTCCTCCTTCCTGGCACAGGCACAGCCCCACACACAGCACAGTACAGTCCCGGAGACGGCACTCTCCACACAGCATAGCCACTGCCCGCAGAGCCATGCAGAGATCCACATGCCGCCAGGGTGAGATTGCAGCCTGGTGAGATGTATGCTGCTCTGAAGACACACATGTATGCTGCTTTGGGGACATGCATGCTGCTCTGGGGACGCACATGTATGCTGCTCTGGGGACACATGTATGCTGCTCTGGGGACATGGCTCGTTGCCTCCAAATCCAAAGCATAATAATTAATTTTATCCAAAACTTTATGCTGTACACATCTCCTATATTGTCATAAAACGTTTGTTATCTTATTTTTTCAATATGGAATATTAAAACCGTCCTATTTTTGCCATCCCAATGTCCTGTTTTTAGCTCAAGGAAATATGGTCAGCCTAGAAATTAGGGAAGATTACCTCTCATTAGGGCCACTGGGTCCTCTGTCTTTGGTTTTAGAAGGTTGACGCCAATCACCATGGCTAGGTTTTCTACACTCATCTTGTTTACACTGGAATTATTTTGTACTTTGTAAAGAAATCTGCAATAGCATGAGAATTAATACAGAAATATAAATACAAACACGTAGCAACATACAAAACTGTATAAAACGTGAGGAAACTAAACACGAAAAGGTGTAGATAGTGGACATTTTATTTAATCTATTCAAGAACATAAGAATATTATATAAAAGAACACAAAGAAAAAGTACAGATAAATATTTCATAAGTCCATGCATCCAAATATTTGTTTTGATTCAAGGTAGAGACATAGAAAGGCTGAAGATAAATTATGCGCAAAGATTCTGCCCCCCTCCACACTCATTATTGCTACTCTACCAATTGTACCATCAGTGCCATCAGTTGTCATGTTTCAATAAACCCAGAGCCATCCCCAGTCTCTTAAAGTGGTAAAGTATACCACTTTGTAATTTTTTTAGTTTTTCTTCTAATGTGCAAGTATGCAGAGTTTATTTGCACATTACAGTGCACTTACCTTACAAGTGTTCCCTTCTCAAGTGCTGCCAGATCAATCTCCAATCCTCAGCGCTGTCCCCTGCCGCCAACACTTCCAGGTTCTTAGTACTCTTCTTAGAGTGGCCACTGAAGATTTAACTCTTACACATGCACACAGGAATTGGCACCCGACCCATTCATGGCATCATAAAGATGTGTGTACACTTCACAGTGCATCACTGGGGACAGACAGAGGAAGATTTTTTTTGGCAGAGAGACTTTTCATGTTTCTTCTGCCAAAACCCGGACTTCCCAGTAATCTTTTTTTAACTTTACTTATTCTTTAGAATGTATGTAAACTAGGAATGCACCGATACCGATACTAGTAATTGGTCATTGGACGCCGCCCAGCTTCCTGATTGACCGTGAAGCCAGCTCCTCCCCCCCCCCCAGCTTCCTGATTGGCCAGAAAACAGGCTCCATGCTTCCTCGTCACCTGGTGTGGTGGGTATTCGGTATGTACCCCCAAAAAAAATATTGCTAATTGTACTCGATACCAAAACAACGGGATCGCTGCATTCCTAATGTAAACTCTAACAATATATTTCTCTTATTTTCACCTTTTTGATCTGCAAAATATATATTTAAAAGTGTTTTGTTATATCAGTTTGATAAGTGAAGAAAATACCATAATTTTTTTTCACGAGAATTCTTGTGAGGTGATAACTTCCTCCGTTCTCATGTGAAAGAGAAAAGTAGGAGTACACTATATTTTTGTGCTTTACGTGGCAAAACACTAGGAAATGGGCATGTATTTTCATTTTTTGTTGTTTTTGCAGTAAAGGAGAAGACCCTCCTATATCATACAACCCCATATGCTCTTCTTGCACTCTGGTGATGGACCATCCTTGTATATTTTGTCTTCCTGTGCAGGTGTGCGGGCTGTGCAGTCTGGTTGTCCATCACCCATTAATGGGGAAAAACAGCAATACAAAGAATTATTTAAGTTAAAAAAAAAATGATACCAAGTTTCGTTAAGACTTTACCTGCATATAAAGCAAAGGAGATTGTAATTTTCTTTAGGAAGAAGCATTATTTGTTTTCGAAGTTCTTCATGACCCTGTAAGCAGTAGATGTAAACAGGGTTATACTATTATCAGAAGTAGTAATGGTCCATAAAGTTTAACCTATTCCAATACTGCAGCAGAACTCCACATATCACATGCAGTATGGCGGAAGTATGTGAATCATTACAAACCATTTGGCAGCAAAGGGTTTGTGTACTGGGTGTTTGCTCGGGTCAGAACTTATTTCATCTCCAGTTAAAGTGTATGTAGACCCTAATAATGAACTTCTCATATTTGCTTATTTTTGGTCCGTTAACTATACCCGTGAAATCATTTTGTTATATATATTCAATAAATGCAAAAACATACTTATTATCATAAATTTAGAGCTAGTTAATGCATACTTCTTGTGTTTTCTCAAGGAGTCTAATTATCTCTTCTATCTTATCGTATCTTTGATTACAGAATGTAATGTCAATTATAGTATATCACAGGGATGAGCTTGAAACAGTGGCTACTTTACAACACACACAAGAACCATGGGGAACAAAAGTAGCCACCCTCCAGAAGGAAGGACAGTGTCAGCACCAATTCAGAGATGATTTGAGGATCTACAGCCGAGTGATAAACAAATAAGAAACATTTTTGTTAATAATTAAGGTACTTGGTTTAACTCATGACTTTAGTTTCACTTTAACTTCCTTCCCTCAACACAATTAGTGTAGAGTCACTTTCTCCTGCACTGGAGTGAGGATCAAGGAGGCAGTTGCCAACCACACTAAGATGCTATATAAGAGATTCAGACCTTGCCGATGCTTGATAAGCCCTCTTCTCCCCAGCCATATGTTCATTCATATCCCAGTAGTGTAACCTACCTTCTCCTCATCAATGTTCATAGTATTTTCACAAGCAAGACAGTCCTCATACTGCGACCAAGGGAAAACTGGCTCCGGCAACTCCCTCAGGTAGAGTTTAAACAAAGAAGCCACTGTATGGACATCTGTATCACTGCAAAGGGAGATGGAGGGTGATGAAAGGGTGTAACTGTATTTAGCTAAACACACAGTAAAAATACTTATATACAGTATGAACTTTTCTATGTGCCAAAGGACTTGTAACACTATGCAAACATTGCTGTCATTCACACAACTTTGCCACTCTGCGCAGCTGGACAGATGACACCTGTTTCCTCCCTTAGCATTGCAGCTTCCTTTGTCAGTCATTCTTCTCCAGCCTACTCTTATGGCAACCATTTCTAATTTATTGCCCAATGAGCAGACAGGCGACAAGTGAAGCTGTAAAGGTAAACCAGGAAACAGTAGGCTGATCTTCCTGGCTGTGCAGTACAGCAGGATGTGTGAATCATATCAGTGGCCAAACAGAATTACAAACTCTTTTGCTGATAAAATATATATTTAAAATATATATGTATTTTAACAACGCGTACTGCTGTTTTTTTTCTTGTTTTGTAAATCTAGTTTATTGGAGAGATAACTTATCAAAGAAGTATAGTGAAAATTATGTGACTTTTCAAATGCATTAGCCTGTTAATTTGTAACATTTAGCTTTTTTTTTTGTGACGTACTGCATCGCTCTATCTTATGAATGCAATGAAACCAGCTCTCTGATCCAGAAAAAACTGAAACTAGGGACAGCTAGGAAACTAGAATTGTGCATTCAGAAAAACCTGTAAATCACCAAAATCACTCTGGTGGCCCAAGAACTACACGTCAGCACGACTAATGCAGGTTCCATAGAACAGCATTTCATGTGAAGACAATAAGAGCATTTCACCAGTTGAAGTGAAGGGGTTTGAGGTGAACGCCGAGTTAGTGGGAGGTGGGAACAAGTAAGTAAAAATGCTTTACTCCAGTCCAATGCTGCTCATTGTTTTCCTTGCAGGAGGCTCTGACATGAGGAAGCAAAACTCTGCCTCAAACATAACGGCAGCCTCCGCACAGTGCAGAACAAGAGATGGTGAGTCAGGAATGGAGAAAAGATCAGCTCCAGGGAGACCACAGGCAATACTATGGATCCGTTCTTTGCCCTCCAGGTGCCATTTGGTGGGCACTGCTTCCAAAGTTCAGTTTCCTTTTAAGGCTGACAGAAGGTCAGAAACCATCATTGCTTTAGTGTCTTATTAAATAAGCATAATTATTCCCACTTCACAGGGAAGAGTGTGCAGCTAATTATTATTAATTTCTTTAAAATGAACAAAGAACTTGTTGGAGATCATTTTGAATACCTGGTAAATGATGGTCGCTCTCCCGCATCAAAAGCTTCTTTTAGCTGTTTGACCAGGTTATCCTGTCCAGGGAGACGGAATATCCCTTCTTCATTCAGGCCATTCTCCAGGATAAAGTCTGCACACTTTTCCATCAATAAGGGGACCAAGTGCCTTCCATACTTCCTTTCATATACTATGGTGTCTGCGAGACGCTGGCCAAACACAGCTGCAACATAAAGCAAAGGAAGGAAAAACATTAATTAAATTGTATCTATACCCAAAACTCATTTTAGTTTTAGTTTTGGATAGAGTGAGAAAGGATAAGAACCCCTTGTGATAGTAATGGGGCCTGGGCACCCAAACACTAATTCAGAAACCCTGTCATCCCCTCAGTTTGTTGAAATTCATTACTTTTAGACCTAATTAAATCAGACTGCCCATTAAACAACATACAGTACATGTTTTTTTCTTCAAATTCCAAAGCACAAGAGATGCTTATCAGACCTGTGTTGAAGCTTTTTATGCCCCACTCCTAATGGGGTACAATAAAGCACTGAGTGACAGCCAGAATACATGGCAAATCCCAGCCAATACACATAGATGGCCTGGACTAATAAGGGCCAGTTGAACCTTAACTAGCCCTGCCAATAGAACTTGTCCAAAATTCACCCAGCATTTAAACCTTTGGACCTGGGGGTAATACATTAATAATGAATATTTACATTGATGTGTCATCCAACCCTGATCACAGACATACCGGGCACTCCTGGCTAAGGGAGGTACAGAGGGACAAAGACACACATTGCTCCTTCTGAAGGGGGAATACATCATGGGAGCGAGCTTGGAGTTGTGGCTACTTTACAACTCACACAGGGACCATGGGGAACAAAAGTAGCCACCCTCCAGAAGGAAGGACAGTGTCGGCACCAATTCAGAGATGATTTGAGGATCTACAGCCAAGTGATACACAAATAAGTTACATTGTTGTTAATAGTTAAGGTACTTGAATGCATTTCTAAGATTTGACTCCTGAGTTTAGTGTCACTTTAAGCTTGTTTCTACACTCTAAATAAGAACTTAAAGTATCCTTGTCTCTGTGGGGAGCATTACCATATTGTAAAACCTCTTATGTTCCTGTCTGGAGAGACAGTGAGCATCACAAGCATTGCTTAAGATTAGAATTGTCACAGCATTTGCTGGGAAATGAATTAAATGAATGCATTAATTAACGCATGACTGTTGGATTCATCAATTCTGTTGTCCTTTCTTAGTTCCATTAAAGAAACACACAGACTGCGTGCATGGGTTTTAACGGCCACAGCAGCCCTTTATTTAAACAAATAACAATTTACCGATCATAATAACCATGAATAACGGACCAAACAATATTAACCTAAAAACTGTTGTTACTATAAGGGGTCCCTTGGAGTCCGTTAGCCCAACTAAGACTATTGTAACTCCACCCCCTGTCCCCAGCTGCACCCCCAGCGCCTCGGGGGCAATTCCAGCATTATCAATGCCCGACTTCCAGAAGGGGCAGGGTTCCTATCCACAACTGACCCCACCAAGGAAGCCCCAAACCACCAGATGCCCCCCATTTATCTGCACATCTCATATTGTATTTTGACCCCCAAAGACCTAACCTACCAAGCTGCTGTGACAAAATAGACATTGCAAAGACCACCTGCACTGAAAATAAGAGAGGCAGGGGGGACAACTTGCTTCCTTCGTCGACTTTCCAGAAAGAACTCCAAGCAGCCCTTGCAGTCCCTTCCCATGCAGTTCCTCCCGGCCACCTGACCTTCTCCTCCAACCAGCTAAGCCCTCTAATTATTCATAATCCTTAACCCTTTCCCCTGGGACGATTCCTCCCCATAGTCATCTAGCCCCTCCTCGTAATATCTCCGAGTCTGTCTTTAAAAAAAGGGAAACAAAAGCAGTTCCCAGAATTTGTGATTTCAAACTAAAGACAGTGGGGTGGACTGGTGCACAACAGATATGCTTGAATAAAAAACTGGAGCCCTGACCTGTGTGTATTGAAGCATACCTTTATCATATTCTGATACTAGAAAATACTCAAATTAAGCAATTACAACATTTCTGCACAGTGCTGAAAAAACAGTAGCTGCCAATGCTTGGCTAAATGTTATGGCAGACAAATTACTAATGAATCAGAAATGTCCTGAGTTTATGTAGTTCTACAATTTAGGAAAGTAAAGGTCAGTCTTTGTCAATGGCATGCCACCTAAGGTGTGAACCCTTAACCCTTTGCTGCTGGAGTTGTTTTTCTGTTTTTTTGTACACATGTTAAAATACACATTCATACATAGCCCCTTCCCACCCATCACTGATTGCTGGCAGCTAAGAGTCTTTTAATGAAGCTGACAGTGAGCAGAACCTAATAGGGAAGCTGGGGGACTGGTTCCCCATCAGGTCCACTCTGCTAGTGATTGACAGCAGGCAGTGGGCAAATTCCATAGCCAATAGCAAGCTGTCTATTGGCTATGGCTATTGAATACATTCACTGCCTGTTGTCAATTACAAGGCTCTGCCCACCTACTAGTAAAACTTTGCTTCATCACTGTGTGACAGGTGGAGTAGCTGTGGTGGGCTGCATTGAGGGCACTCCAGTCTCAGTGCAACTCTGCATCACTAAGGTCAATGCTTGCACCATAACTATGTAACTGCTTCAAACAGTTACATGAATCTGGGGAAAGCCCCGATATTTGTTTTGCAGAAGTATGGCTGAATTCTAAAGAGTGTTGTATACACTCTTTATGAATTCCCCCAATGTTCTTAACACACCATTTATGGACTCTGGAAAGTGTACATCCCTTCGCTGCACATTAAGCTAGGATTCATGAAGAACTTTGTTAAGGCAAAGGATCAAAATGAACTCGGATTTACTTATGTGAGAAAGACATTTCCTAGGATTAGTAATGCTAAGATCAAAGAAGGAATTTTTGTGGGACCCTAAATTAGGGAATTCATTGAAGAGAGAAACCTGATGACCAGTCTAAGCAGGTTGAAATAGCTGCATGGCTATCTTTCAAGAGTATTTGAAGGAAAACAACTACCAAGAAATAGGGAATGATGTTTTGAAGTCATACAAAGCATTGGGATGTATCATGTTTTTGAGGGCCCATTCACATGTAAGCATTCTGTTTCGGTGCATTAATGCACAGTTGTTAATGAGCATTGTGTTAGGGCAACATATTTATTATGCATGGGCTAGCAATATATGACAACAAATTAAAAAATGCGCATTAGCCTTTCGTAAAACGCAACGTGCCATAGTGCATGTAAGCATATAAAGTACTGTATATGTGTTGAGGTTCATTGTGATGCATAGCACATTGGACTCTATAATGCATTGGGGTACCACGTGATGTTGAAATGCACCTTTTAACGCATACTGCCACAACACATAAGTGTGAATAGGCTCTAAAAGTTAATTTCTTGCATTCGTATCTATATTTTCTTTCTGAGAACCTCAGAGCAGTCAGCGATGAGCCTGGTGAACGGTTTTACCAGGGCATTTCTGATATGGACAAACAATATCAGGGTGAGTGGACTCCCAGTATGTGTATCGACCTCTGCTGGACCCCTAAGATGAATGATCCTCAGGCCATGTACAGCAGGAAATCATACACTTCTAACTTTTTCGATGATTCCACTATGATGTAAATACTGGAAATACACATAAAGCATTAGGTTTAAATTGTGTGTCACTCAGAGTCTCTGCGTAACAGGGAAATTCCAATTAGTTACTTGAATCTAGAACCGAAAAAAAACTGTGTGATTCATCTATTTTAGTTCATGTCACAAAGAAAGTGTTGGCCAGTGTTTTCTGAGCAAATGGAATAAGTTATTCTGAGTTTAATATAAAAAGCAGAAGTACCCTAAGGGATACATGCTCCATTGGTTGAGACTCATTGCTAGATAATGTGCCATGAGCTCAGCGGTGTATTTACAAATGCTGCTGCCCTAGGCAAAACAGCAGCGCCGCCCCCCCCCTCCCTACTGACGGCCGATCGTCACCATCAGCACCCCCCCCGGGGTTGACGCCGCCTCACCATCGGCACAAGCCTCCGATCACCACTCGCCCGGCATTCAAAGCGCCGCTGCCAGCTGGACACCGCCGCAACCCGCCGTCCTCTCAAAGCGCCGCTGCCTGCTGGACACCGCCGCAACCCGCCGTCCTCGTCCCCGCCGGCCGTCCTCGTCCACGGCCCCGCTGCTACTATAGCCTCCGGTTCTCTTCCCTTGATGAATACATTTATCAAGGGGAGAGAACCACAGCAAGTGCCGCTCTCAGGGAATCTGCTGCTCCAGGCAAACGCCTTGTTTGCCTCGCTGCAGATACGCCCCTGCATGAGCTTATCTCACAAAGGAGTTACAGTTTAAAACATAATAGCAGAAGTGTGCCCATTTCCGCTTGTAGCTACTGTTTTAGTTGACAGATTTGGCACAGTGCAGCAATGTGTCACTAAAGCATATTAAGCTTGATTTAATAAGGCAAAGGTGAGAAACAGGGTGAATGAAATGCAACTGCTTCTGGCCCCATGTAGTTCAGCTGCCAGCAACTAACTGCTCCCCTTTCCCTCTTTTACCAGCATTGTAATCTGTATAACAAAAATAAAACACCCTTCATCCCCCTATTTTACCTATTCTTAACCAGGGTTCTGTGGAACCCTAGCTTTCCTCCAGGGGTCACTAGTGAGTATTGGTGGATTGATCTAGTGCCTGACAGTGCTTTCATACCGTAGTTGTGGTATTATTGTATTATTGTATTATTGTAATACCACAATATTATTATTGTGGTATTATATATCTCGTCTTGACTATTGCAACTCTCTCCTCATTGGCCTACCTCTACACAGGCTATCCCCCCTGCAGTTTATCATGAATGTAGCTGCTAGACTTATTCACCTAACCAACCGCTCAGTGTCTGCAACCCCCCTCTGTCAATCCCTGCACTGGCTTCCAATAGCCCAAAGGATAAAATTCTAAATATTAACAACCACTTACAAAGCCATCCACAACTCTACCCCCGGCTATATCTCAAACCTGGTCTCAAAGTATCTCCCTAACCGTCCCCTCCGCTCTTCACAAGACCTCCTGCTTTCCAGCTCCCTCATCAATTCCTCCCATGCTCACCTCCAGGACTTCACTAGAGTCTTTCCCATCCTATGGAACTCTCTACCCCAACCTGTCCGTCTATCT